CCAACACATCTCAGAGCGACGACGACACCACCCCACTAACCATAGACATCTCTCTCCCCCCCTCCCCTCTCTCTCTCTCTCTCCCTCTCTCTAATTCTCTCTCCCTCTCTCTCTCAACAACCCACAAAACAGGAAAAAGAAGAATGCATAAAAGTATTACAAGTGGAAAGAAGAGAGGAGGAGAACAAGGGGAACCCGTTCAAAGCCTTGACCTCTCTTGCCGCCAAGTTTGGAGGCCGTTTTACTCTCTCCCTAAAGATGGAGGTTGGACTGGCTCTAATTTATCTCAAGGCCCACTAACTTTAGATTGGAGTTGCAGATGGAGAGGAGCAGTGTTCAAAAATTCGACTCGCACAACGGCCGAGTTGAGTTATTCCTAATAACTTTATAAAAGCTCTACAAAGAAGATGTCCCTGCCTTATCGGGAAGTCAGGGCTTTACTATGGATACGGTCGAGATGAGTTATTTGAGCGGGTCCAATGAATTTTAAAAAAAAAAGTCGAAAAAAAATTCGGAAAAATTACCATTTTTACTGCTTTATCTAAGGTGTATGTGGGCTTCACGATGGATCTGGGCCGGTATGGGAAAATTAAACCCCGCTAAATTTGGAGACAGATTCAGATTGTGGCCGGGGCACATGAGCTTCACTTTAAAAGCTCCATCACGAGACTCTGGTTGGTGATGGTGATAATAAAGTAGTTGTGTATGTAAAGAGGGCAATGCTTTTCCTCTTCTGACTAACCATGTTTAAAAGTTAGAAGTAGACCCATGCCTTTCTTGGATCGTGACGAGCAATCAATAAAGACTGGCCCAGTCACCTTCTTATGATGTGCATTAGGTGATTCCGATCGGAATTATTGAATTTTGAAACCTGCATTTTAATACCTCAGCTTTTAAACCGGTTGCAGCTGAATCGGTTAGAATTTGAACATTCATGAATTAGTGTTTTAAAATTTTGATTGATAGGGCGGATGGTTTACACACAATTTTGTTGGATTGTTAGATCCGCGATCCGAATTGAGCGTAGATTAATCCAAATTTAGTGATAAAATATAATAAGGTAAAGTAAAATTAAAAATAGGGTTTTATAGGGTTGAGGTTTTAAAGAGACCTAAAATAACATTAGACAAGCTTCAAAAAAAAAAAAAAATGAAAGGGAGATTTCAAGGAGGAATCTAATTAGGATCCATTCCATCCCAAAACTGATCCAACCCCAACTGATTCCCATCAAGATTGACGATCCAGATTAAAACCATTTGAAGTTTAAAACACTTTTAGAAGTGCAACTTGAAATAAAACACTTGTATAAGTGCAACTTGAAATAAAAAAAATTAAAAAAATCAGAGTGATTTTAGAGTTCCAAAAAACCGAATTATCTTCCATAGTTTCAATTCCAGCAAAAGAACCTTTCTCTCTCCGTCTCAAGGAAAGGTTATCCGTAAAGTTGTTTTTACTTTTCTTTTATTTTTTTTATTATTATCCGTAACGTATCCATGGGAGTTTATAATTTAATAAAATATCTGGAAAACGAGGAGAATGCATGTCTTCCTCTTTACTGAAATCTTTTACCTTTGTGGACAATCCCTTGTTTGTGGGGAGACCATTAAAATTTGCCTCTAAGTACCTCGCTTAAAACCAGTAACCAGCTTTCTGATTCTCTATCTTAATATGCTCCAAACGCGCCTCTTTTTGAATTAAGCCTTGTTTCATCTCTTATAAGGTGAACTTCCAAACCCATGGAATATGAACTTGAATGAACTTTAACTATCACCTTTCATAGAGAAGGCCACGGCTGCCCCTAGCCCGGCCCTAGTTCCATAGGGCCAGCCAAGGCCTGGCCTAGCCCTAATTGGGTCAAAAAGGCCTTGGCCCTAGCTTTATAAGGGCTGGGCCAGATCAGATAAAATCAAAATTAAATAAAAGAGGAAAACAAATGAAAAGAAGGCTAAATGGGGTCGGTTTTGGCCTAAACCCGGCCTGGTCTTACCCTCATGCTGTGGTTTTCAAGCCCTAACCCTGCCTTCTGGCCACATTTCATAACCCAGGCCCAGTTATTTTAGAGTCAGGTCATGTGTTAGAGACGAACATTAGACTTCCATAATATGAGTGGCATGAGTGACATGTGTTAGAGACGAACATTAGACTTCCATAATATGAGTGGCATGAGTGGCTATGTCAGTAAAGAATAAATTGGTATTGTCTCAAAGGTATGAGTGTTATTGGCATCTCAAGAATGTAAACTACGAGTTGCTCTCCTTCCTTCTCTCTCTTCGATATTGTTGTAACCACTGTTGAAAAAATCAGGTGATCAAACCACTAACCGCTCGGTTAGATCGGAATTTTGGTTTTGGGTAGTTCGGGTGATAGATCAGTATTTAAAAAAAATATATATATATATATATAGTCCAAAAAATAATGAATTTGATTTGTAATGTATTTTTTAATATTCTTTACATTATTGTAAGAATTAAAAAAAAAAAACGGTTATTAATATTAACTTTTGTATTTTCCCATCATTTTCAAAAAAATTTAAAAATACCCCTAAGTACAAATCGATTTTCAACTTCATTTAAATGTGTTTTGCTTTAATCATTTTTTATATGATTTTCATATTTTAGTAGATTTTTTTGTGCATCTTTTTTATGTTTTTTCAAGACTTTTTTGACCACTCGAGACTTAATTTAAAATGATTGAATCAGCCGATTTACTGCTTAGACCAATTGAACTGCTTCTGGGTCCATGTGCGGTTAACCATTCCGATTCGATTTTACCAACAAGTCGTGACCTTGTTACCTTTCGTATTTGATATTCTCCATCACTAGACAAAAAGGGATTAACGGGAATCCCCCTCCGCTTTTGTTTGCTGGTTGGTGTAACATATTTGGGGAAACCAACCCTGATTCTGTCGGCCAAAACAAGGCCTGCCTATTCCTCCAATTACTACCAAATATCTAAGTGCTTAATTATTTTTAATATTTTTGTTTGTAGTTTAGTGGTAGTAATCGAATTAGAGACTTAGTGCTACTAATCATCAGCTGATAACCCCTAAACAGTATTAGAAAACACGACCTCGGAACAGAACCAAACTATGCACGAGGTCCGGGTAACCAGCCTTAATTGGTCAGGTCCTAGCGGGGATTAAAAGGGTAAAAAAAATTAAAAAAAAAATCTTAAAAACTTTCAACTCTTAGAATATATTCATGTAAGAAAAAATTGATTTTCAATTTCGAAATTAGTGCATCTTGTGATGCAATTTCTAGACGGATGATTTTCAAGTATTCAACTTTAAAGTTTATAATTAGAGATGAACATAAATTTTCAAGCATTCATATAGATTTTTAATACTGAAACACCATTTTTCGGCACTATTTGATTGTTTAAGACCTGAACTTTGATTGTTTCGGACCTCGGCCGTATACAAACCGCACCCAAACTTTTAGTTTGATTTGATTTCGTAACTTATACGCAGTGAAACTAGGATTCGTTGTTTGGAATTTGAAAATCAAAATTGAGGTCGTTACAATAGGCAAGAATCAGTTTTTATTCTAAAATAATTTATGTGATGGTCCCCACGAATTAAAATGAATTATTGAAAGGAAAACCTCCAATCATTGGTCACCAATATAGCAGGTTATCTGCCAAACTTCTGAGGACTTTTTTTGTCCACATTTCCTCTTAATTTATTTATTCATCGGAAAATGACCAATTCGCCCCTACTTGAAGTTCGTAATCGACATAGTTTTGCTAGTACCCCTTGGAACACCTTCAACTATCACAAAGGGGCCCATAGACCCTTCCTGATTTTTTTTTAATAAATAATTTTGTAAAAGGTGTGGTTTGCATACGGTTGCAACCTTCGACATTTAAATTAAGTTGCACTTCAAAATTTTATCATAAGATACAATTTTGAGGTTGAAATTTTTTAGAATGGTTGAAGAATTTAATTTTATCTCTTTTTTTTTTGGGTAATTCAGTGGAGATGACGAGCCCCTACCCGGTTTTTGAAATCATTAGTGGTTTTTTAATGTGTTAGATGAGAATGGAAACCAAAACTTTAGCTAGGGCACAAGTGGTGCTATCACCACGACCTCAACCACATTTTAATTATAAAATTTTAAACTCCAAAAATTGTTCAAATCAAGCAGTTCTATAAACACATGAAATCTTGAAAATAGACGGTCCAGATAATGTATTGTAAGATATACTATTTTAGAGACTTGGGCTCTCTTTTTTCTTGGGACGAGAAGAATTGATAGGTGAAGCTGCTTGAAATTGGAAGGCCAGTAAAGTGAGCCAAAGTTCCAGGAAGGCTCCATGAATGAGCAAACAGAGAGACCCCAATTTCCAACAACTTTTATGGTTAGAAAGAAAAGAGATTCAAGAAACTGTAAAAGGTCATGGAATCAGCTAAAATGGAAGGAATATTGCTAAAAAAAGATTTTTTTTAAATGCTGGGAAGTTTGGACATTCATTTTCCAGCAATCTTCAAGCGAAGAACCTTGTTTGCAAAAAAGGGGAGTGGACAAAATCATGAGAGAAAATGGAACACTGGAAAGGCATTTATCTAAGGGAAAAGTTTATATAAGGTTGCAATCTTAAAATGTAGAACTACATATGTACCTCAAAAATTCATTGAAAAAGGTTGTTTTAATATTGAAAAACTCTCTAATTGATCATCTCGACATCGAGGTGTATGATTATGAAAAACAAAAGATTTTGAGTCCCATAAATAGTGCATCCTACAACATATTATCTAGACCGTTCATTTTTAAGATTTTCATATGTTTATAGATTTATTTGATTTTAACTATTTTTGGAATTTAAAATTTTATAATTAGATATGAAAATAGATTTTGAGACAATCCTAATAATATTTTACATCAAAATTATATGTTATGATAAAATTTGAAAGTGCACCTTAATTGGCCTAAGAATATTTTACATCAAAATTATATGTTATGATAAAATTTGAAAGTGTGTCTTAATTGGATTGTTTAAGATTGCAACCTTATGGAAACCACACCTTTTATCTAAAGTTAAAGGGTGTTTTAGTAAAAAAAAAGTTAACCTCATACTATAGAAGTACGGTGCATATCAAAACCCATCCATAAAAGTTGTCTTGCTGGATAAAAACCTTCAATTGATCGACCTCAGGTGTAGGAATACAGGAAAAAACAAATTTGAAGTTCTAAGAATAAAGCATCATATAGTACATTATCTAGACAGTACATAATTTCACTAAGCAAGTTCAAAGTTCAAAGGGATTATATGCAATGAGAACATTTACCTTTAGTATAAGGAGGTCACAATTACTTACAACCATCCGATGTGAAATCTGATAGTTTGGGTGTGTCACAATGTCTGAGAAATTTTTTTCTGAACTTTGAGCTTGGTCAATGAAATAAATGCAACCACTCAATTTCACATCCAATGGTCAATATTAATTGT